TTTTATCTCTTTGTATAGAGAGAGAGAGAGAGAGAGAGAGAGAGAGAGATAACATAATATATACATATTTACACGCACACGCACACACACACACACACACACACACACACACGTATATATATATATATATATATATATATATATATATATATATATATATATATATATATATATATATATATATATATATATGTATATGTATATATATATTTATACACACACACACATACACACACACACACACACACACACACACACATACACACACACACACACACACACACACACACACACACACACACACACACACATATATATATGTGTGTGTGTGTGTGTGTGTGTGTGTGTGTGTGTGTGACGGAGACGGAGAACAAGATAGAACAGAAGAAGAAAAAAGAAAGAATGAGAAAAAGGAAAAGAAACATTGACGGAAAGACCAAAAAGGAGAAGAAGCAATAAAGAAAAAGGAGACGGAGAACAATGAAGAACAGAAGAAGAAAAAAGAAAAAGGGAAAGAAACACTGACGGAAAGACAGAAAAGGAGAAGAACTAAAGAAAAAGAAGGAGACGGAGAACAAGGAAGAACAGAAGAAGAAGAAGAAACTAATGATAATAATGATAAGAAACAAAGAAGAAGAAGGAGAAACAAAGGAGAAGAAGGAGACGGAGCACAAGAAAGAACAGAAGAAGAAGAAGAAGCTAATAATAATAATAAGAAACAAAGAAGAAGAGGAAGAAACAAAGAAGAAGGGGGAGAAACAAAGAAGAAGAGAGATACGGAGAACAAGGAAGAACAGAAGAAGAAGAAGAAACTAATAATAATAATAAGAAATTAAAAAAAGAGAGAGAAACAAAGAAGAAGAAGGAGACAGAGAACAAGAAAGAACAGAAGAAGAAGAAGAAACAAAGGGGGGGAAACAAAGAAGGAGAAGGAGACAGAGAACAAGAAAGAACAGAAGAAGAAGAAGAAACTAATAATAATACTAATGATAAACAAAGAAGAAGGGGGAGAAACAAAGAAGGAGAAAGAGGAAAAGGCGAAGAAAGATTGACGGAAAGACGGAAAAAAGATAAGAAATAAAGAAAAAGAAGGAGACGGAGATAAGGGAAGAACAGAAGAAGAAGAAAAAATAAAAAAGAAGAGGGAGAAACAAAGAAGAAAAAGGAGACGGAGACCAAGAAAGAACAGAAGAAGAAGAAGAGGGAGAAACAAAGAAGGAGGAAGAGAAAAAGGCGAAGGAAGACTGACCAGCGAGAAGTCGGTGTGGAGGAAGTGCCAGCCGGAGATCATGGAGCCCGAGCCTGCGAGGACGCCGTCCTTCACGTCCTGGAAAGCGCGGAACAGGTCCTGGTGGGCGACCTTCCTGGCCTTCAGCCGGCCCAGGAGCGAGTCCGGGGGCGCCTCCTGTGGGGTGAGGGGGGGGATGGAGGAGGGGGGGAGAGGGAGGGAATGGGAGAAGGAAGGGGAAGAGGAGAGGGGGGGGGAGGGAGGGAATGGGAGAAGGAAGGGGAAGAGGAGAGGGGGGGGAGGGAGGGAATGGGAGAAGGAAGGGGAAGAGGAGAGGGGGGGGGGGGAGGGAGGGAATGGGAGAAGGAAGGGGAGAGGAGAGGGAGCGGAGAGGGAGGGAATGGGAGAAGGAAGGGGAAGAGGAGAGGGGAGCGGAGAGGGAGGGAATGGGAGAAGGAAGGGAAAGAGGAGAGGGGGGGGGAGGGAGGGAATGGGAGAAGGAAGGGAAGAGGAGAGGGGGGGGGGAGGGAGGGAATGGGAGAAGGAAGGGGAAGAGGAGAGGGGGGGGAGGGAGGGAATGGAGAAGGAAGGGGAAGAGGAGAGGGGGGGGGGAGGGAGGGAATGGGAGAAGGAAGGGGAAGAGGAGAGGGGGGGGAGGGAGGGAATGGGAGAAGGAAGGGGAAGAGGAGAGGGGGGGGGGGAGGGAGGGAATGGGAGAAGGAAGGGGAAGAGGAGAGGGGAGCGGAGAGGGAGGGAATGGAGAAGGAAGGAGGAGAGGGGGGGGAGGGAGGGAATGGGAGAAGGAAGGGGAAGAGGAGAGGGGAGCGGAGAGGGAGGGAATGGGAGAAGGAAGGGGAAGAGGAGAGGGGGGGGGAGGGAGGGAATGGGAGAAGGAAGGGGAAGAGGAGAGGGGAGCGGAGAGGGAGGGAATGGGAGAAGGAAGGGGAAGAGGAGAGGGGAGCGGAGAGGGAGGGAATGGGAGAAGGAAGGGGAGGAGGAGAGAAGGGGGAGAGGAAGGCGCGGGGGAAGGAAGGGGAGGGAGGGAGGCGCGGATTGGGGGTGGTTGGTGTTAGCTTCGTGTTGGGTATCTTTTTTGTTATTATAATTATGATTATTATTATTACCATTGCTGGCGTTGTAATTATCACTTTCATCATTACTATTATCATTATCATTGGTATTATTATTGATATCATTATCATTATCATTATCATTATTATTAATATTGATATCATTATCATTATCATTATCATTATCATTATCATTATTATTAATATTGATATCATTATCATTATCATTATCATTATCATTATCATTATCATTATCATTATCATTATCATTATCATTATCATTATCATTATCATTATTATTAATATTGATATCGTTATCATTATCATTATCATTGGTATTATTATTGATATCATTATCATTATCATTATCATTATTATTAATATTGATATCATTATCATTATTATTAATATTGATATCATTATCATTATTATTAATATTGATATCATTATCATTATTATTAATATTGATATCATTATCATTATCATTATTATTATCATTATTAATATTGATATCATTATCATTATCATTATCATTATCATTATCATTATCATTATCATTATCATTATTATTAATAATGATATCATTATCATTATTATTAATATTGATATCATTATCTGTTACGATCATCATTATCATCATTATTATTATCGTTATTATTATCATTGATATCATTATCTCTTATTATTATTATCATCACTATCATCGTTATTATTATAACTATTATCAACGTTATCATCATCATCACCCCCCCCCCCCCCCGCTCCACCTGGATGGCCCTGTCCATGAGCGCATTCTTGGCCGTGAACAGCTGGATGTCCGTCTCCACGAACTGCGCCAGGCTGTCGAACGGGAGCGAGAACTTGGGCAGGATCAGCATGGCCTTGAGGTTGGAGCGGTAGACGGCGCCGACGACGAGGGACGCCACGAGCCACACGCCGGCGAAGGCGCGGACGGGGGCGCTGGAGGGCACGTGCGCCACGGCTGCAGGTGGGGGAGGGGAGGGGTTGAGCAGGGGGAGGAGGGGGAGGAGGAGGAGGGGGATGAGGTTGGGGAAGAAGAGGAGGAGGAGGAGGAGGAGGAGGAGAAGGAGGAAGGGGATGATGATGATGAGTGGAGGAAGAGGAGGAGGAGGAGGAGGAGAAGGAAAGGAAGGAGGAGGAGGAAGAAGAGGAAAACTGTATCTCAGTAAGACCTATAAGGCTTAGGTTCCAGACTATCTATTCAATCTATCTGGACCAAACGTAGCCAGGACCACCTCTCTCCAGGGGGGGGGGGTGATGGCCAGCGGTGACTCAGAGGATGGACTGTGACACCTCCGACAAGGGCCGTATGGCGAGGCGGAAGATAGGATGGGATGAGAGATGGTGAACTCTTCAACTTAAAACTGCTGTCTAAGTCTTTTATTGTCTGTCTGTACGTCTGTCCATCTCTATCTCACGGTGGCAATGGTGAAAAAATCTTAAACATCGTAACCTGAACAGAGTTGTTTTTACTTTTTCTTTTTATCAGGTAATACGATTTCTTTCGATCGGTGATGTTTGAACCTCAGGTAAGAAGGAAAAAATATTGGATATTCTTTTGCTATATTTAGATCTACTTTGAATTTTGTATGCCTTTAAGATCGCTACATCAGACACTGAAATATGACGGATGTTTATTATTCTACGTTTCTTTCTGCCTGTCTCTGTCTATCTCTATCTCTCTATTTCTCTCTCTCTCTCTCTCTCTCTCTCTCTCTCTCTCTCTCTCTCTCTCTCTCTCTCTCTCTCTCTCTCTCTCTCTCTCTCTCTCCCTCTCTCTCTCTCTCTCTCCTCTCTCTCCTCTCTCTCTCTCTCTCTCTCTCTCTCTCTCTCTCTCTCTCTCTCTCTCTCTCTCCCCCATGTGCTCACACTGCCCAAGAAGCGCCGAGAAGGTCCAGAGGAAGGACCTGTTGGCGCTGTCGATGACCTCCTCTCGGATCAGCTGACCTCCGCCCGGCCGCCTCCTCTCTTGCTTCCTGAAAGACGAAGTGAGAATCATTCGTTTTCTGAAACATTAAGGACAGCAGCAGCAACAACCTGTGACATCTGCCCAAGGTTCTGGCACGTAACTTAGGAAACTGAAATATTCCTGTTTCGTTTCGTTCGCTCTCTCGATTGCCGTTCTTTAGCGAGAATGTATAAGAAAAGTTACTGTAATCGACGATATCAAATCAACATTTCCCTCAGTATAGTGGCAATAAAATAATGCTAAAAGCAATATAAAAATACAATAAAAGCAATCAAAAAAACAATGAGAAACGTACGATAGATTAAAAAACGCTAGCTATGCGGCATGGCATTATAATCCTTGGGGCTGGAGATCGTATTAAAGGACTAGTTACTTTAAAATATAGAAAAGATTGTCTTAAGATTGTCTTATTGCTTATTCTGAAGAAATGTAAAATTGGAAAAGTAAAAAAAAAAATGTGAAGAAAAATCTTCCATCCCTTTCACATGTCACAGCGCTGTTTTGTATTCGAAGCGAAAAGAAAAAAATGCAAAAAATACTATTAGAACGTATATCGTATTGTACCCAAGGCTTCAAAGAATATTAAAGAAGTAAGTATTTTAAGTTTTATTGATATGGAAAGCGTTTTCAACACGGAGAAAGAGAGAGAGGGAAAAAGAGATTAAGTAAGTATAACGATAAGGTGTTAGTAAGGTGTTAGCAGGTTCGGTAT